GAACCCAGATGTGGGTTCTGGGTTCCATCGAACCCACATCTGGGTTCGCTGGAATCCAGATCTGGGTTCCATCGAACCCAGAGCTGGGTTCCAGCGAACCCAGCTCAGCGAACCCAGAGCTGGGTTCGCTGGAACCCAGCAGAGGGTTCAATAACCCGAGGAAGAAGAGGAAGAAGAAGAAGAAAGAAGAGGAAGAAAAAAAGAGAAAAAGAGAAAAGAAAAAATGAACGAATTATTTTATTTTATTTTTTAAAAATATAAATAAGAATAAGGTGAGTTGGCAAAAAAAAAATTACACGTCTAACATGTTTTCAATTTGTTTTTGCCACGTCATTAAAAAAATTATAAAAAATGCCATGTAAGCGAGTTAACGATCGAAATTAACAGAAGTACTAACGGAGTGCATTTCTTAGAGTTGAGAGATCAGAAAAGTGCAAAAAATTGTTAAGGGACCAAAAATGTGCAACTCACTAAAGTTGAGGGACCAAATCTAGCATTTAACCTTAATCAAATACTATAAATATATGATTCTGCAAAATATATCGCACGGTGCAAGTGGGTTGCACTGGTAGATGGTTGATTCTCTGTAAGAGAGATTCAGAGTTCAAGTCCCCCAATAACAAATTTTAATATAATTGTGCTTCAAAACTAGAATAAGTAAATTGTAAAGCATTAAAATGACAAAAGAACATTGTGTACAAGTGGAAAAACCGTTGTTCTACAACATGGAGACTAAGTGTTCGAATAACAAGCTTGTAATTAGCAATAAGGTTAAAATATATGGGATTTATATGAGTTAAATAAAAGTCCAAGCACCCATTGACTAAAGCATTGCTTTGTCCTGGTGGCAAAGGATCAACCTAAAGATTCTAAGGTTGCAAGTTCAAATCCTGGCGGACACAATTTTCTCAAGATTTTATGCCCAAGCATTGAACCGTCCGGTTGAATGGTTTGAGCGGTTTTAAACGGTTCATCGGTTCGAGCGGTTTTAAATGATTTAACCATTTAAACGGTTTAAAAAGTGTAACCGAACCATTTAGATCATTGGTTACCGGTTCAACCGGTCCGACCGACCGATTCGGTCCGATTTTCAAAACCTTGGCCTTGAGGGCATAATTAATTAAATCTAAGTGATAAGTAATGTAACATTAAGTCTTAGGACCTATTTAATATTTATAACGGTTAAAATTTAATGGATAGTGAGTAATGAGTAGCGGATAGCAGTAGCGGGTAACGAGTGACAGATAGTGGAAAGCGGATAGTGAAAAGTAAATAGTGGATTCAATTATTATAACTATTTAGTTACATAATAGTTAGTTATTGTTATTTTAAATTAAATGACTGATGAGATCATGTTTAAAAACAATTATGTGTATGTTTTCTTTTTATATTTGT